GGCGGACCAGCCAGCAGCCTTTCTGAGGGGAGGGGAGAGCCGCTGATGGCTTCTCCCCACGCAGGTAGTGCCCCCCCGGGCGTGGACCCGGAGGCCTTCTCCTGGTTCCAGGCGGTCGATGCCGATCACAGCGGGTTCATCTCCGTGAAGGAGCTGAAGCAGGCGCTGGTCAACTCCAACTGGTCGACGTTCAACGAGGAGACCTGCCTGCTGATGATAAGTGAGTCTGGGCTCCCCCTGCCCTCCCCGTGCTTTTGATTCTGATCTCTTTGAGATGAGCCTCTGCCGGGGTGAAGCCCAGCCCAACCCCTGTTACCTGAGCATCGCTTACCTGAGCAGCTGGCCTGTCAAGTGCTCTCTGGAGCGAGAGCTGGGCAAACCGAGCAGCTCCAAGCGCCCTTTTGTTGGAGGACACGAGTCAGGGGCCTGAAACGCTGCTTGGGAAAGGGAACCCAGCTCTACGTGAGGCTGAGCAAGCCCCAGCTCCCAGAGAGCTCCCAGGAACAAAGGGAGAGAGAGCTCCAGTAGCTCCAGCATAGTCACAGCATTCCCCTCTCACCCCAGCATCGGGTTTTGGTGCTGTTTCCTACCAGCCTCTTAGGATTGAATGGTCCCAGTTGATCGCAGTCCTGGTGAGGGAGGGCTTTCAGGGCCGGAGCGGGGTGCCAGGGAGCTGCAGCGCAGATCCTGAGCTCTTTGGGAGTTTCTGCAGCGTGTCCTTGCTCCGCTCCTCACTGCCCTGCTCCTGCTCTTCGTTCTTTCCTCCCCAGATATGTTCGATAAGACCAGGTCAGGACGCATAGATGTGTACGGCTTCTCAGCCTTGCTGCGCTTCATCCAGCAGTGGAAAAACCTCTTCCAGCAGTACGACAGGGACCAGTCAGGCTCCATCAGCTTCAACGAGCTCCAGCAAGGTGGACGAAGGGCAGAGACACCAACCTGGCCCTTACCGAGCTCCCCAGGGACTGCTGTCTGGCTCTGCTTGGGGTTTATTTCCAGCCCGGCCCGGTGACTCCTCCTGGTGCCGTCCCTGCAGCAGGGCTGGGTGTCTGAGCTCCTGGGGTGCCTCCCATGCAGCCGTGGCTGTAGTCCACACCCATTGCTGAGCTGGGGCATGCTGGGCTGGCTAAACTGGC